GGGTTCACGGAGAAGATGTATGTTGCTTGTGCCGAGAGAGAAGAACAGAATCTAAGGAAAGAAACCAAGGATAAGGAGGGTCTAGAAGTGTACGGCATATTGAAGGAAGGAATAGGGTTCAAGGATTACCTTCTTGGACCAAAGGATGCAGGAACAAAGCTTAAGGTCAAAATCAGGACCGGGGACATAGGCCTTCGAGAACGTCGACGATAGGACGGTAGACGACGAAGACGACGAGTTCAAATGTGATTGCGGCTTCAAGTGCGAAGACCGTGTGCATGTAGTCGCGGAATGTCCGTTGTACAAGAAGGAGAGGGAAGTGCACATGACTGAGCTGGGAAAAATAGATAAGACGTACAAGGAGATGTTTGAGGCATGGAATAGAGAGGAAAGGACGGTAGCTGTAGTGGGGCATAGGAGATGGGTTGAAAAGGCAGGAAGGGATATCGTTAGGATAGACAGACTAGGGACTACATTTTTGAGCCACCTTTGGCAAAGTAGAAAGGAACGATTGGCCATCGGTGATCGGTCCTGGGGAACAATGCTCCGTCCTCTCGAGGACGCGTGGTCAATGGTCTAACCGCTAAGGCTTGCAATACATAAGAGTACGTCCCCCCCCCCCCCTCTGCCCTTCCTTCTGTGTGACAAAACCATGTGATCTTGTCGCCCTCGAAGGTGGGGCTCGCGCGGCCGATGGAGCGCGTGGTGCGGCTCGACCTCGCCCCGAGGCTTGACACCCCCGCGACCTTCCGCCTTTACGTCGAGATTATGGCCAGCCGCAGCAACGTCGTGCTGGTCGCCGTGGACGAAGCGAGCGGGTCGGAAACGATAGCCGCGTGCGCCTACCAGGTCAGCCCGAGCAAGTCGGTGCGGCCCCTCTCGACAGGTCAGCGGCGCCAACGGAGAAACAAAATCGAGACCAACACTATATCAGTATTGGAAAATGTTAATGCAATCGCAGAAGGACTGCTGTCGCACGAAGGGGATGTGAAGTCTTCACTGTGAGTGGCAGTAAATCGGCTGGAATGCTTTTATTTTTTTGCAAACTTGCGTATGTATGTCCACTCCAACAGTTGAGAAGCGCTCAATTTTTTTGACAGTAAGCAGACGGAGCATTGGCACTCGCTGTGCGGGCCCTATGAGGGAACTGCGGTGTAAAGGAACGCGGACGAAGAAAGCTCTTCAGCAAAGGGAGGGAAGCCAGCCAACCTTCTAGCGGGGAGATTTTGAAAACCCTTCGCACGACGCGATGCTCGTCATTAAAGAGACCCTCCAGCGTGTATTATAGCCGACCTGAAAGAGAGGTACAGAAAGAGAGAAGGGTAGAGAGAAAGCGATAGAGTGAAAGAGAGAGAGAGAGAGAGAGAGAGAGAGAGAGAGAGAGAGAGAGAGAGA